TCAACACTACTGACAGCAATTTGATTTTAATTGGACAGGTGCAACGAACAGGTCACCTTTTATGATAAAAAATGCCTACTCATGTTACCGTTTCTGAGGAAATAAGTTTAATTTGCACGGCACTATTCATTGGAGCGCTGAACTATCAGTAACCATCAATTTTTCACCTGGCAAACTGAATTTTGTATCGACCCTTATAACTCGAACTCTCGCTAACTCAAACTATTTTTCGTTTCCCTTACTGAAGAGTTCGAGTTACCGGAGTTCTACTGTAAATTGCAATAATAGACTCTGGTCCGTATACTTCCTTTTGTGCACTATGAATGTACTTGTCACTTTCTAGATTATCCGTTGCAGCACCCATCGTTAGGTAACTAGTTAAGGAAAACCAAAAGCGCTAACGGATTATGCTAGAGACGATCAAGGAATAATATATCCACGAGCGCAGTCCATCGAGACAATGTAGACCATGACAGCATTTTAAGTAATCCCTTTTTGTATCACTACTTCACTCAAAGTAAACTCAAAGCAAAATAATTCGTTTGCAATCTCCTTCTGTTTGTTAATTGCGATAAAACCATTAGTAGTTTTCTGAAAGTTACTCAACTTTGTGCTTGTAAATTTCTGTCATCTTTCTTTAGCTCCTGAAGTTATTAGAATGAAACCTGTGTCAACTGCAAGTGACTTATGGTAAAGCAGTTTTTGTGTTTCCGTTATCTTTGGAGCTATTAATTTCCAGTTTTTTTGTGTTAATCTTATCCACGTGGCTCTTAAATGACACTTTCTTTTTTTCCCTTTCTTTTTCCAGGAGCCTAGGCGTCGTCACATATGTCTTGTAAGTAGTATAATCGAATTGCTGGTTCAAATAAAATATATTTTAAATGTTTTGATAACTAGAGGTGTGTTAGGAATGTTGGATAGTTTTTTAACGTGCCCGTCTTTCTTTTGGAGTCATGGGATTGCACACTATGGGGTTCGGTGTACAATGCTGCTGTTAACTCCTGTTCGTATTAATAGTGGATTTAAATTGTGTATGTCTCATTGAGTTCAAACCGACGTTTATCAAACAGCGATCTAAAACCTTTGGTGCACACTGATTTTAATTGCATGTACCCATTGATTCGTAAGACAGCACAAGACTGAATTCCCCATCTTCATTTCGGGAGAATACTGTTGGCTGAATTTCCGTGTTAGAATTGACTGGGAATTGTGTTGGTTTTTATTTCCTGCAGATTAAGCGGCCTGATGCCATTCTCTGGAGACGATGACCATCAGACGCTTGTCAAAGTAGCTAAAGCTGACTGGGATTTTGATGATGAGTGTTTTGATGATTTATCTCACGATGCAATGGAATTTATTGAAGGACTTCTTGTAAAGGATCCAAGGCATGTTTTAATAAAAATGTCCTGTTCAAATTCGGGTATTTTGACTTATGACTTAAGCACCTTGACCGAACATGTTCAATGTGTTTTACCTTTACTACTAGTAATAGGAAATCGAAAAGATTCCCAGCATTGGTTTTGCTTTTGCTTTCTTTTTTCAAAAGTTTTCTTTCTAGAGCTATTTGTTTCTTGATGATGCATACCTACTGCGACTACTGCAGATAGGTAATTTGGCATAAAGAGCCTCAGCTATGTGTTTCACCTAATCCTCCTTACATGGAGTTAGTCAGGAGTAACCTATTCGTCGGATTCCCTCGAGCTTTGGAGAATCAGAATGCGGCATGAGTGAAGTAGCTTTCGGAAATATTGAAGTATTATCCACTGTTTCCTTTTCAGCAAGCGGTTAACAATAGAGGAGTGCTTTAAGCATTCGTGGATAAAGGTGTGTAAAAATCTATTACATCCCTCTTCAGTGGATCCCTATTTCTATAAGTTCATTTATTTATTTACTTATCACGTTTTTTTACGGACTGGTTGAGAACGATAGGTTTAGTTTTTCTTGCTGAAGCTGCCATTTCAGGATTCTTTCTTTCTCGTTTCTACCAGGAAAACCATGAAACAGGAACGAAAATCAACACACAAAAGCATAAGGCGTTCATGGCGAAGAGAAGGTGGAAGGTAAGCAGACATTGCAGTCAATTGATCCTGTAGCCTGCGAATACAGCTGTCTCTCACTAGGAACGTTTCGCGGAAGGGAAGTCTGCGCCCTCACGACAGCAATTCAAAAGTGATAATGTAAAGCAATGTTCAAATAAGTTTAACATCTGGTAGTCATGGGGTTCCACTTGCTATAGACTCTAACTTTCTCCTAGTCTATTATCTCAAAGTTTTGAGTTCTGCAAACGAGCGGCAGCAAATGTTAAGCTCAAACACGTCGTCTAAAGAAGAATACATTCCACGAATAATGACTTTATTGTAGTAGATTCATCGCTTTTACATTTAACCTGGCTTTGTAACCTTTTGTCTTTTGTCTGTCGTCCGTAAACAACAGTTTAACAGATTTTACGTCATCAGTATCGAATTTTTGTCCTTGGAGCGCAGACTTTCCTCTCTTGAAAAGGCGAAAGTGGCCAAGAACCTGCACGCAGGCTGTTGATCGTCCTTTTCGTGACATCTTCGGAGGTCATCATTGAAGTTAAAATAAAATACAGAGTAGCGTTAGAAAGCTGGTTTACTAACTTAGAACAAACGCCACTGAATCGTAGCCAACAGTTACCAGCGTCGTACAAACGACTTATTGACGAGATCAAGCAAAACTAATTCCGAGAGAACGACTGGGGAACTGACAATTTGACAAACAATAGACGACTGTTTAACTGTGACAATAGACGGATCAAAATGCGCCAATTACTGATTACGAGTCTTCGTAGCCAATAACATCACGGCTTAACTGACAGACGACCAATAACATCGCGACGTAAATGACCAATCAGATCAATAACCAGAGTATAACACCATCAAGTGAAGTGATACAACTCACTTTGACTCTGAAGATGACTACCGCACAGGTTGTCGAAACATCAGTCACTGTCAACAATAACAGTCCTATTCAGGACTACGTTCACCCGTACGATCAAACTCACCCTACTTTAGAGTAGCGTTACTTATGGCTTCATTACTCCATGAGTTGACCTGATTTGGCAGTAACTCGCGATATTTTTGGTCTTTATCATCTTGTATTGTGCATTCTAATCGTTAACCCTTAACGTTGTGACTTCATTTTCAGAAATCTGTACATGCTCTTTTGGCTGTTCGCCGCATGTCTCTGTCGCCTATTTCTGCCTCTAAGAGAAGACGTTCAATGGATCCATCCATATTAAAAACAACTTCAGAAAGCGAGGAAGATCAAACTGTGGACAGAAAGGTGTCAGCTCCGCTAGATCCCTCGACATTACACATCTCGGAGCGTCGACGTGGAGATACTCGCAACTCTTGTTTTGATCTGAACATGGCAACTATACAAGCTTTGCAAGCAAAGGCAGACAAGGCGATGGGAAAGGACTTGTCACAAAGGGTGGAAAATGAACACGAAACTGAAAGTGATTCAGAGGATGAATATCATAATGGATACTCGGATAGAGATGATAACTGTACAGATAATGCCAATGAAAATGATATTTCCACATCCGAGTGCAATTCAACAAAACAAGTGTTTTCAAATAACCAGAGACCGAGGGCAAACACGGTTTGCGGAGCCAGTCCATCATCTGAGTCATCTTCTCAGCGTGGGGTGAGAAAAACATCGCAGATATTAATCAACGTTGGAAATACTTCAAAAAATGATTTTAAACCAGTATCGTTTACTTTCAACACAGAGGAACTGCAGCGAAATATGCGACAAAGTCGTCAAACTACACCCGCAAGAAGTGAGAATCAATTGAATTCAAATAATAACCACGAATTTTCTAGTGAGTTTTCACTGAAACAAGAACATAACCACATTACCGAGCAGCAGAGATTAACTTCACAGATGGATGAATCCATCTTGGAAAATGGCCACCCCGAGAAAAACAAGCTTCCTAAAATTTGCGTGAATGACGAACTTATTTCCACAAGTCCTTCCCCTGTTTCGGTAAAATTAAACAACATTGAGAAACTTGACAGTGAGGGGTTGATTGGGAGAACAACCTCACCACAGGCTTCATCAAGTTTAAACATTGCTGATGTCAGTAAAATAACCGAGAGTGCCCAGTCCATCACGGTAAAACTGGATAACTTAAATGGTGTACAATTCACACCTGGTAACGTGACATGTAGCGTGCGTCGGTCTTCCACTGGTTCAGCACCGTGTTGACTTTGCAAATAGTAATTTTGCGAACTACTTATTACAGAGAGGACGCCACGTAACCATGGTAGCAAAATTTCTGAAACTGAACACTTTTTTGACAGACTGCCATTTGCAGTGTAGAACTAGAGAAGACAAGTGTAGGCTACCGTTTTGTTCCTGAGTGCAATCATAGACAGGAAAGTCGTGCATGTCAAGTTTTTTTTTGTTTAATGCGATATTTGCAAGACCATGGTTTGTTGAGATCCAGAAATTTTGCTACCATGGCAACGCCACGTAACGACGTCTCCTCTCTATTATCAAGACATTGCCATCTATCTTTTCAAAAATAAAATTGTCGAAATACTAGTAAACGATTGTGCAGATAGATTGTTATCCATTCAACACCTCTCCTAAGCAGAAACACATACGAACGCTACTTTTTTAGCCTCCCTCACGCGCAAAGAAGGCCTCACGAGATGGCCGAACACAGTTTGATAGGTTGTGGATCGTTGCCATTCATTGGAGGTGCAATTTTTAAGGACCTTAAAAGGTCCTTAAGACTCGTTGAAAGTGTCAAGTCCAAATTTGGAGTCATTCTTATATTCCAAAATGTAGCTTTTCATACACAAAAACGCTGAACCTACTGAAACTTTCGTAAATTTCTACTATGGAGAGTATGCTCGAAGTGTCGAGTTTCCGGTGACCATTTTCATCGAATAAGTGTGGAAGAACGCCAATCCAGAGCGAACTGATGAAGTATTAGTGCTACATATAAGGTCGAAACATATACGTTTTGGACGGGGCCTATTGTTAGACAGGAAGGAAACGGTTCCATTACTTTGAAATCTCTATTTAAACTGTTTTTTCGCACGTATGTTTTGTGCGCTTGTAAAAAAGGAACGAAAATCACTGACGCTCACAAGCACATGGCGTTCATGGCGACAAGAATGTGGCACCTTATATGAGACCGAATGTGGCACCTTATGAGTGACAAAAACATGCCGTTTACTCAAAGCCTACACCGCAAATTGTTTACTCTTGTTTGCCCACTCCATGTCAGCGAACCTGGTATAGGCCTGCTTGGATTATCATCATTATATTGTAATAGTGCTAAGAAATACGTTCCAGGTTTTTGTTGTAATTCACTTTCACCTACGAAACTGAACTACCTTGCAAATTATTAGGCTTTAATCAGGTCTTGTTCTACCCATAATCCGGTATCAAACCTTTTCTCACCCGCGAATTGAAGGAAACGACAATTTTCCAACCTTGGCTACTGGACTATCCGCCAGATTGCAAATCCAACGCTCCAACTACTCGGGCACGTTGCCTCCACGCGGCCTCCAGACAGTAAATTGTCAGCCCCGCATATCTCAGGGGATTATGTATCTATAATCTTCGTCGTAGGGATACTCACAACTTTTGCTTTGATCTGAACATGCCAAAATTCAAGGTTTTCAAGCAAAGGCAGATAAGGCCATGGGGAAAACCTCATCACAAAGAGGGGAAAGTGAACACGAAAATGAACGAAATTCTGAGGATGAATACTCTAATGAAAGATGATAACTGTGCAGGTAATGCCGATGAAAATGATGTTTCCACATCCGAGTACATTTCAACGAGACAGATGTTTTCTTCTAATCAGACGGCAAAATCGAACATAGTTGGCGGAGAAAATGTAGAAAAACATGTTGGCAATGTCTTCAAACCACAACTTCTAGAAATGAAACTCAATTGGATTCATATTATAACTAGTAGTAAGTGCGTTTAAATGCATACGTTTACGTTCGGAATTACGGTCTTTTTCACATCCTGATGCCTTTCGCAGGGGCTAACCTTTTTTGAAGTAAGGCATAGGTCGCACTTGGGAAAAGTTTTCATCTTTGCCGGCTAAAAAACCACGAAAATTCGAAACCGCAACCGGAAAAGAAAACTTTTAGTCAAATCGAGGAGGGTCGCACTAGTATTTACTAGTGGGAGTTAATTGTCGTTGTTTTGACACATTGAGAACTAAAGTAGGCCAGATACCAGAGAACATTATCTCTTCGTAGTCCGATCATTTCGGGCGTAGGATCGTTTTCCTCCTTTCCCAGTTTCAGAAGGATGGGAGAAATAAAGAAAATAAAGTGCTTCGCTGCAAAGACTGCATTTAGCTCGCAGAATAACAAACCTGTAACGGTGCCTGGGTAGACTATAATTGGCTCGCCTGTAGAGAGTTCCCGTAAAAACGTTGAAATAGCGAAGGATTACAAGCTTATGAATTGCTCGCCCGTACAAAGTTTTCACAAAAACGTTAAAATGACGAAAAGTAGTGGAAGCCTCGTCCGTCAACAACGAAAACGCGAAGGTCAGAAAATTTCAACGATTGATTCAAATTGATCGTGTTTCAAATTGGTCACGTTTCGTTGACAAGTGCTGACACTTACCGCCGTGATTCCTATTGTTTAGCTCGAGTTTTCCAAAATCTGCCTTCCCCACCCAAGCAATACGGCGTCTTTGATGTTTTTCGCGATTTTCAAATTTTTTTCCAACTTGAAAACTTGGGGTCGCACTTGGCAATGTGTCCCGATGACAGATTTTTACCGCAAGGTAAACAAATTCTTCCAGAAATTTGCCAAGTGCGACCCATACCTAATAAACAGTTTCCGAGAAAAATCCTTCGAAAAATGTAACGTTACATTTCGAAGGACTAGTTAACCTTATTGTTATTTTTGTCATTTTTTCTAAGTCTACCTTACTCTAGGACACTTTTTTGTTGTCCATTAACGCGCACAGTCTGTAGCGCGTGTATAAAGGGACAGTAAGACTAGGGAGAAGGTTCGCGCGTTTCACACGCGGGAATCTATACATTTCGCGCTCTTGTGTCTTTATGACTCAGTAACGAGAGGGAATCCAACTAGTTTGAGCTCTAACTCTACTTTGACTGTAATAAAACTACTGTCATCACTTCACGAATACCCTACAATTTAAAAATGTTCCTTACGCCCGGTTCAAAGGTCGCATCATATGTGCGAATCTAATGTAAATGAGTGAGAACAATAGATTTTCCTCAGTAGCATTAAAGTCGGTACATGTCGATACGTCGGACGTTTGAACCTGGTCTTAGTTGCTACAGGTACGTCAGGTTCATACGAGTGCGAAGTAGATACATATACGGACTAATTTATTTAAAAATGGTTCTTAATGATAAGACACCAATTCCTTGCTTAAATAGCGTCTAAACGTATTCTTTTAGGACTAAACTTTGACTATCTATAGGCAGCGAGTATATTAAAATAAAACATGAAGTTTAAAGGTTCAGTTCCCTGAAGAATTCTGTTACATAGTATGTAGCCGGTAAACCGTAAGCTTCAATGAGTAAGTCAAGGTCGGAGTCATCCTTTTTTTCTTTGGTTCTTTGCGAAGAAGCCATCTTCGACTCGAGATACTCCTCAATTTCCAATTCTTCATTCAAGTGAGCTAACTCAGCAGCATTCTTTCCATCGGCTGTCGCGATATTAACGTCAGCTTCGAGATCAACAAGTTTTTTCACAATTTTTAGATTACCATGGATCGCTGCCATGTGCAGGGGAGTGAACCCTTCAGCGTCCTGGGCGTTGACATTCGCCCCGGACTTAACCAAAAGATCGATTATCTCGGGCTCGTTGATTTGATTGCTTGCAATGTGAAGAAGGGTCGTATCAGCTATTTCTTTAAACACAGACTCGTGCTCCTTATGAAGCTTGCTTCCTGTGCCTTTTGGAGGATCCTTTCCCCAACCACTCCCAAGAACATCTCCAAAATCTGCCACATCAAGACTGCCTCCATTCGTTCGCTTCAGAAATAAACCCAGTAAATGTTTCTTCACCAGGACATAGTGCCAAGCTGCTCTACCTGTGTGTTTCTCTTTCCCACGAACAAGGTAAAATCTATCTGTTGAGTCTTCCTTGTATCCAATACTTACATCAGCCTCGTTTTCAATCAAGAGTTTGATGAGCTGTTCATGTTTGTTCATCACACCAAGGAAAAGAGGGGTTCTTCCTTCTTTATTTTGAAGGTTGACGTTGCTTCCCTTTTTTACCAGAAGCTTGGTAATATAGAAAAATCCTTTGCTGACAGCCGTGTGCAGTGGTGAATCGCCATCAGCATTCTGAGTATTTACTAACGCGTTCTTTTCCAGAAATAATTTGACAAGGTTTTGGTTACCCTTCGTCACTGCAATGTGCAGTGGAGTATATCCATCATCTCCAGCGATATTAGCATCAGCTCCATGATCCAAAAGCAAGTGCACTGCCATGAAGTTTTTCCAATAAACAGATGAGATCAAAGGTCTAACTTTGTCATCGGTTCTTTGAGCATTAACGTTGGCACCAAGGTCGATAAGGGTCTCAATAAACTCACCAGAAGATGATAGACTCGCCCACACCAAAGGTGTGCGATTACACAATGCAGGGGTGTTTATATCCAGGCCATCATTTAATACAAGCTCTACTGCGTTCTCCGCATCATTACCACGTTTACACCAGTGCAGCTCTGACAGTGTATTGACTTTATCCACTGTCTCTCGGTAAAGGCTTTCAATTTCGCGATGATCAGGCCTTTTGGTTTCAAGATTTGCGAGAGTATCAGCTACTGCTGTCATCATTATTTCTAAATCACTTAGTAGCCCGTGCGACTTCAAAATAACGTTGTAATTCCCTTCAACGACCGCCGCCGTGAGCAAGTTAAATCCCGATTGAGTATCCACACGCAAGAATGCCTTCTCCGCAAGTGACTTTAAACTTAACTGCAAGCAAGAAGTTAAAACGAGTCAGTGTACTTACCTAGAATCTGAATCTAACTGAGGTGATAAACATAAAGCAAATATAATTTATCGTCCATCGAAATTCAGTAGTAGTAAAATGAAAATTGAACATTTAAAGAACACAACCGACTCGCTTGGGATATATCAACATCCATCGTCAGGTTACTAAAGTTCACAAAATTGTAATCATACATAGAGATAGACAACAAAGGATCATAATTGCAAAAGGTGATCATTATAGAGCCGTGATTTTACTTGAAGCGTGAAACAGATACTAACAAATATTGCGTAGTATTCTACTACCTATTTCACGGTTCGAGTAAAATCACTCTGACTAACTAATTACAATTAATTATCATAGTTTTATGTAATTAACTTTGCTAATACAACTCAAAAGGTGGATGGAAATCAAGACAAATGACAGAGAACAGGAAAATAAGAGTCTTCAAGTAAGTTAAATCGTAATCACATTCAACATTATGATCCACAAAGTTAGNATTGCGTAGTATTCTACTACCTATTTCACGGTTCGAGTAAAATCACTCTGACTAACTAATTACAATTAATTATCATAGTTTTATGTAATTAACTTTGCTAATACAACTCAAAAGGTGGATGGAAATCAAGACAAATGACAGAGAACAGGAAAATAAGAGTCTTCAAGTAAGTTAAATCGTAATCACATTCAACATTATGATCCACAAAGTTAGTTATCAAACTTTATATAAGGTCACAATTATGTGAACTGGCGATGGATAGTGGATACTGATTCATCCGAAACACGTTGTATTCTTTAAATAATGCTTAAATTACCCCTTCATCCATACTGTACCTAAAAATCGAGTAGAGTATCAGATTGTAAATCTAGTTTCTTTGAGAAATTAGTCGGAGTGTGCACCGATTTATCCACTTTTTTGTAGTACTGATTTGTACAGCAGCGCGCTGCTATCCTGCTTTTTTGGCTCCTTGAATGTCCTAGAAGGAACCCTTGAACACCCTCGCTTGTCCAGATTTCTTGTAGTTAGTGCTCCTTTCTCGCCACGAGAGTTTTAAAACCCGACACAACAACCAGGAAATTTATTATTATTCACTCAGTAAACAAAAATCGAAAAAAAAGGGCAATTATTACCCGCCACTCTGTAAGCATAACTTTCATGACAATGAAACAATAAATTCACTGAATGATTTCTACAAGTGCGTCATTTCTCTGGCCATTTTGCTATTTTCAAAGTCTTGAAGGCTTCAGTTCCTAATCATTTTACAGAGGGGTACGTTGAAACTAGAAAAAGTGAAGCAAATGGTAATTTGTTATCCTGGTTGTGTTTTTGATTAATAACTTAAAACACGCAATACCAAGGACGAGCTCCATTATATGAAATTTTAAAACAACAAAGGTAATTAATATGTTAAAAAGAAGGCGAGTTAGGTTTCCTCATGTGAAACCAGATTACTATTAAAAGTTTTTCACTCTTGTGAAAATTAATCGCCAAACACGTTTGTTTTAAATCCATTATCTTGTTGTTGTTGTTGTTTTTTTTACGCTTTAGGGCTTCAACTCTTGCACTGTTTTTGTTTTTTTTTTTGCATAATTTTCATGCATTAAAAGAGAAGAATATAGCTAAAATTAGAGATGCAACGCGAGGTTACAAAAACCTAAGCTTTTAGAAAACGCCAATTTCACGTTGTAATGGGTTTAAGAGATGTGAAATTTTAATTAATAAATCCTAGATCTTACTTTCGTACCTTACAGAACCATAGTTAATTTAAAAAAGCTTCTTTATTCAAGGTCAGAAACGTTTAACCATCAACTGAACTTACTCTGTCTTCAGCGTTAACGTCTGCACCCTGTTCTAACAACAGTTTGACAACAGATTCCTATCCATACCAACAGGCAAGATGAAGAGGTGTCAGAGAAAACTAACGAAAAGATAAACAGAGCAAGTGAAGGTTATAACAGGGAACTAACAAAATTATTCGACATTGTTAGGCTCAGTTTCCCAGTAAGCTTAAGACTATCTTACATACTTTTTATTTGATTTCTTGAAATTCTTTCAAAGGTCAACCCACAGATAAACGCCTCTCTGACAAATCAATTTTGAAACAGAACGTTACAGCCTATATCCCAAAACGCAACAATTGTTGAAGAATTAAAGATAAGTTTCCTTAAGAAAAAGGCTAGGAACTCGACCCAGCTAACTCCAATATCGAGCGAGGAAAAGCTAGGCGTCGGGTTGGGAACAGAAAATCATACAATTACAGGCTTATTCTAAAGCAGCATAGACCAGCTTAGGTCCATATTACCCTTTAAATTCTTTACCTGATAACCAAAAACACTAAAACAAAACCTGATCTCTTTGATCCACATCTTCACCAGTGTCAAGTAGCATTTTGACCGTCTCGCATTGTCCACTAATAGCAGCCTTGTGTAGAAGGCCTCTTGACGCCTGTTTTTATTTAGAAGGTGAATAAAGATCTATCAGCAGTCTACACACCTTAGGGGAAGTTTACATGAAACCGGAATAACTTTCATTCCGCAACAAGTTCATGCCATCTACATATATTTCTTTGCATCTGTTCACATGATACCGAGAAGAAATTTTGTTCCCGTACAAGTCATTCCGGAATGAGTTCAGTCCGGTCTTCAATCCGAATGAAACTTTCGTTTGGGTATGATGTAAACTGAAATCATTTAAACTGAAAACACAATTCGTTCCGCATTGAAACTCGCAAATCGTGTAGTCTGGGGCGAGTGGCGCATGAGTATCTTATCTAGGCTGAGACTTTCGATTTTAACATGTGAATGCAGTTCGATGTTCATTCTGGAACGAACTTATTCCGGAATGAAAGTCATCCTGGTATCATATAAACTGCCCCTTACAACACTTGAGTTATAGCTGATAACCGCCTCTTCCAGACCTAAATCATGTCAAGAGAAGAAACCTTAATAAGAGAAAAAATAGGTACTGTTTTTTATGGTTCTCGTTCATCGTCTCTATGCCTTGTGATGACAAAAACGATCAACGTAAAGTAATGGCTTTTCACGCGGACCCTGCAAAGCCGAGGTTTATAAATTCGCGCCCGCGCAGCACGTGGCTTGAGCGTGGACTCGTATTGCTGCCAGCATTCACTAGTCAATTCCTATCCATTCCGATAACTTAACTACCGTATTTATTCGATTAACCGCCCTGGGCGCTTATTAAATTTTTGGATCTTGAGAGTGGACGCTTATTCGAGGTGGGTGCTTATTCGAGGCTGGGCGTTTATTACATTTTTAACATTTTCAGCAAGTGTAGTACGTTTATTTTGCAACAGAACAAAAAATGTTAATAACAAAAGGCGACGATGTGACAAAGCAAGGTTTCTGTAAATTCCTCTGAAGAAAACTACGGGTTGGCTATAATCTCTAGGTTCATTTTAGAAGATAAATACTTTTCTAGTCTACACTATATGCTCTAGTTAACCCATTCGCTCCTGGAGATTTTGCCGAAAAACGCGTTTTGAAGCTAGTCGAGTGGTTTTCTGGTCACTGTCGTGCTATAAAGGGCTAAAACTTACCACAAACCGGTTTACAGGTCGTACACTTGGCGGCCTTCTTCTTGACTCTTACTTTTCGCTTTTTCTCCTCCCTTCTTTTTTCGCTTTTCTTGCCTCCTTTTTTTTTCTCTTGCTGGGCATTTAGTAGGCTTCATTTTGGTGGGAAGAGTTTTTAGGAAAGCTTTTAGGATCTTAGGATTAGGTGAAAGGAAAGGTAGGTGGGCAATGGAACAAGATTTTCATGGAGATTTTCAGGTCAATGTCGCGTGGTTTTTTGCTTCTTTCTCCCTTGTCCTTGACTGAATTGTGCTCATTCTGGTATGGTTTGAAAGATCTCTTCACTCTACACAAGTTAGCGAAGAAAGTTGTCCTTGACCGTTAAAACTGATAACGTCACAAAGGGTAGAAAGGACCTGGATCCGCACGGGCGGTTACGGGCGGTTCAGGGGCAAATGGGTTAAACTGTTCACGACAAATGGTGTTTAGATAAAAGCGTTGGACAAACTGAAAGTGACTTAGAACGCGCTTTTGGTAAACACTGGTTAAACTTCGTTTAAATAACTGGTCCTACGTCTTCGGGGAAGTCTCTGGGAAGGGGAAGAGGTTGGGGTGGGGGTGGGTGCTTAGTGGAGTTTGAGTGGGAGTGAGAGGGGGTGGGGTTGGGTGTGGGCGCTTATTCGAATAACTACGGTATCTGTACCTCTACAAAACTGTAAAAAGTCCTCCAGGCGTTCTACTTGTTTTCCCTTCAGTGAATGGACAACGAGAGCACACTAAAATATATTATTTTACCTCGGATAATGCACTTCTAGCATTCTGATTGGTTCACTCGACCTCGGTTATCAGCTCATATACCTTAGTTTGACCTTATATAGAAAACAACAAAATTTCTCTCGGGCAAAGCGACACAAAAAAGCAGACTTCGCGAGCTTTCTACCTACGAAACAACAGAAAAAGACAAAAAGTTCCATACCGGCAGCGACAAAAAAGCTACAAACTTTGGTTTGAAATTATTTAATGCTACTCCGAAGTTTCCGCACAAATTTAAAGATATTATAAGCCTAATTCTTCCGTACGTCGAGCTGAATTGTGTAACAACAACAACAAAGTTTACCTTAAGTTTTCAAAAACATTAGCAGATTTTTTGCGTGTTTGAAGAGCTTTTACAACTCTTAACACTTTCGCAAGTCCATAACGGACCATAACGGGCCTCAAGTGAATCCTACAATGAGCGGCTTTCCATTGAACAACAACAACAATAACAACAAATTGATTGATTAATGAAGCTGCGTCTTTGTGCAGCTCCGATTCATTGGAGAAAGAAAACGAAATTGAAGAGCAATCAGGTCGACGTATCCAGCGTCAAATTTCACAGTCACAACGAGGGAAAGCGAAAACAGCACTTGTCGAGAATAATTTAAGCACCGCGTCCTTCCCTTTCAGATTTTTCATTCAACTCAGTTCGCAAACGGCGCGCATGTCATGTGATTGTCCCTTGGTTTACCGGAAGTTACATTAATATCCGGTCGTTTTGTAATTTTTAAAATAAAATTTGCTAAAACTCATTTGTAATAACCAGACGTTTGGAGTTTTTAAAAAAATTAATAAAACATTAATTCCATTCGCGCTTGTTGGATATGAGATAGTTATAGCCAACTCGGCGCTACGCGCCTCGTTGGCTATTTACCACCTCATATCCAACGCGTGCTCATGGAATAATTGTAAACCCTTTCACTGCCAAATGTGGCCAAAGGCAAATTTCGACCAAATTTGCAAATTTCATTTTCTAAAATTTTGACAAACAAATAGCATCATGTGAAAGTACAGGCCGAGAGCTTTCATTTGAATGGTCATATCATAGGATTTCGTCCATAGACTCAAAAGTTAGAGTCACCTTACAAAACTCCATCAAACACTCTGGTAGTGAAAGGGTTAAATATACCACGGAACTTACTTTTGTCTTCTCAGCTCTCTCCATATGGCTCAGGACCTGCTTCTTGTCCTAGGATGATTAAACAAATTTGTTATTCATTTAAAATAATTCACCGTTTTTACTTTACTGGCCTTAATATCCTGGCTAATTCTTCATAACCAGCTGGCACTGACCAAATTTAGAAAACGCGAGCAACATACCATTGATACGATGGTATATTGCCCCAATATATTTTTTTCACTTTACTCAAATCTTACTCACATTACACTTACAATACAAAATATTGCGATAAAGAGAAATTATAGCTACATACGTAATGCTAACAGTGAGAAACAGCGTACACATTAAACTAACAGTATGTCGTTTGCAAACAAAAGAAAGAAAAAAGAAAAGCATACAATAATTACTGCCAGCCATTATATAATTACAACAAAACGTACATTAACCCTAATCTTACATGATAATAACAATTAATAATAATATAAACATTTTATGGTTACGCAATTAAGGGGAAAATTAGGAGTTTTAAACACAGAATAGAAAGTAGACAATTTTGTCTTAATTCCTTTTCGCAGCCGGACGTACCCGAAATGTATTTTTCTACTTTAATCTTTATGCAAGACATATAAAAGGGGCATCATGGAGAGTCTTCTTTTTTCATTCTAAAAAATAAACTTTTAGCCCACAGGATATTGTGAAGTAATTTTATACTGAAACATTGATAACTTCACTTCCCTGATTCAAAACCAAGGGAGGTGACCCCACATTTTTATTTTTATTTCAATTAATCCTTTTGGCACCATCGAGAATAAGAATAAGCAAATTCTCAGTGTTGGAAATATGTGACAAAATAGGGAAAATATTATCTGATTTTTTTTTGGCGTTGGCTTTACTAACCATGGCAAAAACGATCACGAAAAAGTAGACAACCATGATAAATTTTTGTTTTACAGAAAAAAGAGTTCCTCAATACCAAGGCGTGCTTACTACGGTGGCTTTTTGTTTTCTTTGCATATCTGAATTTTATATTTTGGCTTTACAAAT